CGTCCCCCCCCCCCGGATCCGGTTTCTCCGCGCCCGCCCCTTCCCGCAGCGTCGGCCGGGCGTCTGGAAGCCCTTCAGAAGAACGGCGATGGGGAGCTGGGCCCTGGCGTGGACGGTGCTTTGCAGCCTGGTCGCTGCAACCCTGGGTAAGGCCGGGGCGAGGGAAACGGAGCGCGGCCGAGGCAGCTGCGCCGTGCATCCGGCGCTGGGCTCCCGGCAGGAGGGGAACAGGAGGGAGGCGCAGGCCCAAGCAAACGCCAGGTCTGTGCCTGGTCGGGAGAGTGATAGTGCGTCTCTGGGCTCTTTCTGGTTGAACCCGGTTTCTGCTTTGGAAACTATTTTTGTATTCCCTCTTGAAAGTAAAGGAAGAACAAGGGCGCTCCTGAGCATGTGTGAAAATACCCATCATCGCTAGAGGAATTAGGAGGAAAAAAAAAGTCCCCATGATTCATCCTTCCCCTCCATCTCTGTGATTCAAGAGTGGGACCTGCGGTGTTAATTTTGTTGTTTTTGATGTCCGGGGAATACTGCCGTTTTCATCTAAAGCCGCGTTTATCTCTGTTGAGCTGGTCTGCATTTTTTTTCTGTAGAAGGGGTTGTCGTTTGTGTCATTTGGATTGAAACTCTCAACTGGAATATCATCCCCAAATCAATCTTGGAAACTGGAGGACCAGAAAATAATCATTAATTTAAAGAAGTGATACAAATAGGGGGGGGGGGACTTCCGAGTGTGTTCCATTGAACTACATTGGAGCTGTACAAAACTGTTTATATCCTGGACTTTGGGATGGGGAGAAACAGCACTTGACAATTACACACCAGAACTTTGTGACAGTTGGCCCCACTCCTTTGAGCAATGCAGGCTCTTGGAAAGGCTTAGAAACAGAAACGCCTGCATCTAATCATAGTTGGGTCTTTTTCCTGCCTTGCTGAAATGTTTAGGGATGATGATTCTGTGTGAATTATTTTTGTCTGTGGTTAAAGAAGGATGCAAACCTGATAATTATAGGAACCCGTGGGAGTTAAATAACCTGAATTATATGAGATTTAAAAATAAAGAAGCTATTTGTAGAAAGGTGAAATTGTGTCTGGATTGAAGAGCTTGTAGTGACTTAATGTTTAGAAACTAAATTTGTTGCTGTCTGCTACTCCCAAAACTGCATTGCTGATCCCTGGAAAAGTGGAGTCACCTAACCAGATATAAAGTTGTCTGATACAACGATTGTGCCAGTGGTATTTTCACTGATGTTAGTGTTACAGTATTATTTTTGCAATGTAGAATTTTTGCACTATGGGATTCAGAATGTTCAGAAAAGACACATGCCTTTGAAAGTATATAATCTATCAACATTTATGAAAAGTTAACAAATCAGGGAGACACCATAGAATAGTCTCCAGGTTAATGGTTTCAAAAATATAAGATAAGATAAGATAACCTTTATTGTCATTTTTTTACTGTGGGCACAACGGCACACATCAAAAATGAAATTTAGTTGCCCGCTCTCAAAGTGAAACACATACATGACACACACCTAAAACATACTATGTACAACTTATGTATAGACCCACACCCCTACATATACATAGCATATAAATATTAAATACTGTCCATCTTGAATATATAATATATTTGTAGATCTGCATAAAACATCTAAAAGAAGTCAGGCTGAGATAGTTCTGTGAAAGACCATGGAGTGAAATATGCTAGTAATTCTAATCACTTATAAACTGAGCATGTTAATCATCCTTATGTTCATGAACATAAGAAGATGGTTTGTTTTCAAGAAGACCAACTCACTAGCTTCTAAGGCACCTTTCTCAAACTAGTATATTCGGGTGGTGGACTGCAAGTTCTTTCATCCTCAGCCAGAAAGAACAGAGATGGACCATGTCCTAATCCTGGTATACCAGATATCCTGCCAAAAAAAAAGAAAGAAAGAAAGAAAAGAAATTGCGCATAAAACTTTGTGGTAAATTTCATGATGAGAAATATGTTCTCAAATATTGAGAACTAGTCCTGAAAGTGGCCTGTTCTCAGAATATTGCTCCATACCTACTTGAGAACATTTAATATAAACCAGTTATCCCCTAATTTTGCTAATTACGCTACTGTGGCTGAAATTGAATAAATTACTGAAAACAGATTTCTTGTTGGTTTAAATAGTTACAATAGACAGACAAAGGCTTATTTTTTATCATAAGAGAAAAAATGTGTTGTGAGAAGGAGAATACTTCATTATTCAAGATACAAGGATAATAATGAGGAAAACATTTTTTCAAATTTCTGGCAGACAGACAGTATAATTAACGTTTATGTAATGTGCCTAGCCATCCCATAGTTTCTTTGTTTTTAGCTGATTTGTGAATTCTGACCATTCTGGTGGTTTATGACTTAAGGTATTATGTGGAAATCTATGTATTGCAGCATACTGTGTGGTTAAAAATCCTGGCTCCCGAGGAATTTGTTCCAGGCAGTGAATAATTTTGATTATGATGTAGATCCAGGCTATCATTTTCAACCGTAGAATTTTTTTTAAAAGGTACTTCAGACAAGAAAAAAAATCTTTAAAAAACCCTAGCTGACTTTTATCAAAGTCTGAGTTCAGATATATAACAGTACCTCTGTTAGATCTAATAACATTTTCATTAGATGAATGTTTTTTCCTCCCAAATAACTATCTCTGAACCGAGGTGTCATTTTACCTTCACTAATGAGTAGAAGAAGCCTCTGAAAACAATACACAAGCAAGAGGTCCAAATGGTATCATACCCTTCATCCTACAAAGCTTTAATACTATTCTGAATATTGAAGCTGGGTGGAAGAATCTTTGTGCAATACCCTTCTTTCTCTTGCTTTTCTTCTTAGTCCCGTTGTCTTGTTCATGTGCCTCACGCACATCCAGTTTGCATCTCCATGTAATTACTTTTCTTTCACTTATCCTGTTTCTCCTCTTGCTGAAAGAAGAACGTGAGCATGCATGTGTGCATACCAGCATGTTAAGTGAAAGTGGTTTATATGTGTGAGTTTATGTGGGGACCATTTAATATTGTAAGTGGAGTGACTTATTTTTAATTAGTAATTATTAATTCCATTAATATAAATATAGTTTTGTTCCAAAGCAGCCTTTTGGGAGGGGAATGTTGCTTCTGGCAGCCAAAGATACAACACACATCTCACGTGACATACGGACTAATTTATTGGGTGGGAGAGAGAAATTTCAAAGATTGATTATTAGCTTGTGTTGGCAACCCTAAACAATGCAGAAGAGTTTTGTCTTTTGTTTGGAATTTTCTCCTCCTCTGCTTCCTTTGAGGATAGGGTGTTTTTTTTTTAATTTGAAATTTTGTATACAAAATGTGTTTAGAATCCTTTTCTTTTTTTGTATTTTGACAGTTGGGAATTACTCTGATCTTTGTGCAGTAAAGTGCTACTTGCTTGGGTTTTGTTTTATTTTACACCATCTGCCATCATAATAACAAGTAATAAAAATAGATACAATTAGAACAAAATCTTAACATATTATAAAAACTCTAATATCCCTTCTGCCTGTAGAACAGCATCCAAAAAGGTCAGACTTCTAATCATTAAATGAGGTTTCCATTGCCAGAGCCAAAGTGTTTCTTGTCAGCTTCACAGAAAGTTAGAAAATATTAATTTTGTTTTTACAGTGGGGGATGGTGCTGTTGGCCCAAGGTTGATGGTGCTAATTGAGCAGACAGTTCCAAGGTGAATACCTTATTGGAAATTTGGATTTTCTGAATCTGGGATAAATGAGAATTTGCTATGGATCTTTGAAGGAAAGGAAGTTCCAAAATAGTTGAAGATCAGGAAATTCCAATAGCAAGGAGGGAAAAAATGAGATATCCACTGAGAAGATAACATTATATAGGAAGGAAGGGATTGTAGAATGAAATAGAAATTATGGCTGATGACTGAAGTCCCACTGACTCAGTAATTACTTGATGAAGGGATTTAGCAGGCTTTATTTTTAATGCCTAAAGCTATTTATTCAGTTTGAAAGTATTTCGTATCCCATTGTCCAGTTTGGATGTATAGCAGTTCTCAAGATCCCTTGTTCATTTTTGGGCTCATTGTTGGGACTAGTGCAGGAGTAGGCAACCTTGGCTCTTTTATGACTCGTGGACTTCAACTCCCAGAATTCCTGAGCCAGCTAGCTCAGGAATTCTGGGAGTTGAAGTCCACGAGTCATAAAAGAGCCAAGGTTGCCTACCCCTGGCCTAGTGAAACCTGCTTGTATCTGGAACCTGGTCTCCATCTGGGTGGTGCTGTCCATGGTGCTGACACCTGCAGCTGATTAAGACTCCTGCATTCTTTCACACAACCTGAGGGTGTTTCTTCATTGAGGCCCTGCTTGTAATGGGTATGCTGTATCTGCAAACTCTGTAAATGATATTTTATCAAGGTAGCTAGTTTCTTGGCCTTTTGATAGTGGCTTTATATTCTAAAAATGGTTGAGACAGGCTATGCAATGTATTGGATATTCTGGCTAGGGATCATAGGAGTCGAGGGCACTAATGTAGAGAAGTGGAGGGCACTAACATAGAGAAGTGGAGTCTTATTGTGAGTCTGCAAATAGTATTTACAGTACTACTGTAATCAAAGCAATAATTAAACTATTTAGCCCAGCCTTTCCTAGCTTCATGTATAGATGACTTTAATTTTAATTCTCATGATTTCTAGCAGATATAGGCTGTGGTCATGCTAGAAAAAATCCTGGACATTTTATTTATTATTGTTGCATTTCTTAACTTACCGTTATGTTTATAACTTGCCTTTTTTGAGAGTTTAAGGTTTTTGGAAACAATCCTGTGAGGTATGTTTACTTGAGAGACAATCATTGGCTCAAGATTACCTGTTGAACTCCATTATTAATTGAGGAATCTGGGTCTCTATAATTAAGTCTAACATCTTAACAGTGTTGGGCATGCTGGCTATCAATCATGGAATAATTTTACTTGCGGAAGATTGCACATTTATCAAACTGTTTATTCAGGCTGAATACATCTCTGAAGATTCAACGTGAAAAAGGGAAGTTAAGAAAACTGGACTAGAGAAAACCCTTTCTCATCACAAAGAGGAAGGATATGACACAGGCAGGAATCCAGCCCTCCTGCAAATGCCCATTTTCCTCCAGAATAATTGAAGAGGAAGGGATGTTTTTCACAGTCCTACATACAATAAGGAGCAGATGCTTTTACTGCATTGAAGAATTAAGGGTCAGAAATTTTAATTATTCTAATTTTGTTATGGGAAAGCCTTTCCCATGCTTTGTAATATCCTTGAATAAAATATAAAAAGTAATTAACTTCAACAATCAATAATTTAAGAAAAACCAATTATGTTTCATGAGCTCATCATCTAAGGTTCAAATGGATATGGATGTATATGTTATAGTGCAGTGTTTCTCAACCTTGACAATTTTAAGGCATGTGGACTTCAACTCCCAGAATTCCACAGCCAGCAATGCTGGCTGTGGAATTCTGGGAGTTGAAGTCCACATGCCTTAAAATTGTCAAGGTTGAGAAACACTGTTATAGTGGCTGAAAGACAAGTACCTGCCATATAGCACCCTGGGCGTAACAATTGTTGATAAAAAAGATGAAGAAGTCTGGATAGTAGCACAGTGGGAGAGAGAAAAAAACTGGAGAAAATCAGAAAATACAAATATCCTGATGAGTATGCATTAACATCTTTCTGCACCCAGATAGTTGACATGTCAGAAGATTAGGTTTCTGTTGCCTTGCCGTTTCATCTCTTCATTGTGTCAGTGGAAAGGAGCTCCAGCTGCCTTCTTCCATTTTGCCATTCTTTTAAAATGGCAAAAACACTAATAAATCAATATTAAAGGATTTGTTTGTTAATTGTTTCTTATAGTTGTCCAGTGCCAGGGGGAAAAAAGGCTGCAGCTTTTCTCTACAGAAAGAAAGAAATGCTGTTTCTCTTACAGAAACAGAGAATCAAGGAAAGGAAAGGTAACATAAGACAGAAAACGAAATATGAGGCCTGCTTGTCCTTGTTCAATGACTGAATGGAGCAACTTTGTGTTTCCTCAGTATACTTCCATCTCACTTCTGAACACCAGTCATTTCATAAACATGATTCATTCCAACAGATCAAGTCTGCAAAACTCTGCTATAGAGGCCCTTTAATCCAGTTGATCAAGAACCGTATATGGATTAGAGGAAGAGGTAGAACCAAATGTGTATATTTGAAAAAAGACACTATTTATATTCATAATATTGTTCACATGAGTCAGCATAAGTAATACATTTGTGGTTGATTTTTTTTATATAAGCAAGTAAAGAATAGAGGTATTTTTGTGTTTTAAATGCTGTATAGTGGTGAGTAGCTATCTTACTCTATAAGAAAAATATCTTCCTATGTGGGGAAATTAGTTTTAAGATTACAAATCCTGTGCAAGGAGTTTAGAATCATTGTGCTAAAATACAGCATAGTATATAATGGATTAAAGTACTGTATTGTGTCAGATTTGGAACGTCCAAATTAAAATATCCATTTAATTATGATATTCTCTTGGAATAGACAATCTTTCCTAACAAACTTATTTACAATGGGATTGTCTGGAGGGTAATGAATAATACCAGACAACTTAAGAAGAGAAAGCGGCATTGGGAGAATATATGAAGGATACTACAGGGGATGCACTGAAGTTGGGACCCAGTGCAGGCTTACTGAGTAATGGAGAGACCAAACTGGCCTACCCAATGAAGAATAGAAAAGCAATATGGAAAGGCAAAATGTTACTTAAAACAAAAATAGCAGGCAAAGCAGATAATAAGACCTGGTGATTATTAAGAGCAGGAAACTTGAAGAAAGAGACAGAGGGACAAATTCTGGCTACACAAAACTAGGCCAAATGCATGCAAAGTCAGCACTGAGAAAAGAGCAACAGACAGCAAATGCTGCCTCTGCAAAGATGCTGAAGAAACAGTGGACCACCTAGTTAGTGGCTGCAAGAAAATTGCACAGACTGACTACAAATAACAGCATGACAAAGTAATATCAATGATGCATTGGAATACCTGCAAGAAATATCATTTGCCTTCAAGCAAGAACTGGTAGGACCACAAAGTAGACAAAGTAATAGAAAGTGAAGAAACCAAAGTCCTCTAGGACTTTAGAATTCAAGCAGACAGGCACTTGCCACATAACAGCCCAGATTTAATAAATATTGACTAACCCCCCCCCAAAAAAAAAAGTCTGGAAAGCAGATAGCAAAACAGAAGAGAAAGAATATGAGAAAATCATAAAATATAAAGACTTGCAAATAAAAATAGAACGACTGTGGCAATCCCAAAATATCTGAAGCACCATTGGTATTGACAAAATCACCATCAGTCAATTGCAAAAAGCAGCTTTATTTGAAACAGCTTACATCAGCAATAACTTTAAAATTATAAAATAGCAATGTCTGCCTCTTCCAGGTCCATTGGAAGGATAAAAATGCCAAAACCAGTCTAAACAACTGGCTGACTGCATGACCAACCATAGTAATAATAATAATTTATTAATCTTCTAGGCTGCCCAACTCTCAATAGCTCTGGGCAGCTTGCAACAATCAAAGGTATTATAATTATCTCAATAAAAATTAAAAGATGACAAGCGCAATAAAGCGATGGGTGTCACTCGCTTGTCAAAGACATGGGTGAAGGGTCAGAATTATATACATCACTTGAACTTTTGGAAAAGAGGCATAATGTAACTGTAATCGATAAAATGGTTGCAATGTTTAGAGTGCAGGATAAGCATTTCCAGTCATCTCAAGACAGCTGGTCGTGTTCTATCTATGGAGGTCACATGTTTAAATGAAGGGGATTAAATCATAGGAATGAACTCATTTGATACTCTGGGTGGTAATAAAAAACCAGAGCCGTGACCAAACCTAAGTATGCCAGACAGTACAAGACTTTTAATTTTATCTTCCTCTGCTTGGCTAAGTTTGACATAACATGATCAACATATGTATATTTTTTATTCCCTTTTGACAGCATTTAGTCAACTGTATTTCTAAGAAATACAGCAAGCTGAGTATGTATCCCTTATCTTTATTTTAATGATACAAGGTTTCATGTAATTCATCTTCTGTATCATTTTTTTTAAAAAATGTAACAAAATAATACAACTTTAGATAGTGATGACAATTTACATAGTCACACCTATTACAACAATGAATATATATCTCATATTTGAATATGCTATATGTTGCATGCAATTCGCAGTCTGTTTTAATTTTGTTAGAATAAACATAATGCATTGTGGCAATAATCTACAAATTTAAGCAGCATTTATGTTGCTGTTTATACTGTATTTTTTATACAACATGGTTGCCATGATGGCCATGGCCAATACACCCTTTTCCTTGAAGAGAAAATTGATGTGGATCAGCTCCTGGAACAGTGGTTCCCAACCTTTTCTATACCCCGTACTCCTAGAATGCTTCTGATATATTCTCGCACCCCTTACAAAAGTTCAAAACGAATTATGCATTTACACTATAATTTTGAAACTTCTAAACCCAAGTTTTTGCACCCCCTGGAATATCGTCTCACACACCCAGGGGGTGCAAACACCCCTAGTTGGGAACCCCTGCCCTAGAAGAAATTGTCTTTTATACCAGCTTTTCATGTCCTTTTGTTTTGTAGAAGACAGATACCCATACTGTCTACAAAAATACTGAACTATGGCCTCCTGATATATTTTAATTGTAAATATACCTGTTATAATTTCTATTATGCTTTGAGGCATTCTGATATTTCTAGAAGCTGGCACTTTACTTTGTTACATAGCAGCTTCCTATTAAACTTTTTAAAAGAAAAATATTAAGCCTGAGAGTCTTACAACTGCCAAAGAAAATATCCATTATCATTAGGTTGCCAACCTCTGCAATATTGCTTTTATATTTAAAAAGAGAGAGAGAGAGAGAGAGAGAGAGAGAATGGTGTTTATATCCAGTGGCAGCAATCTGGGATTGTGAATGGTATAACTTATGAGAAAGCCATAAATAATGTATGTGGAACTCCATAATTAAATAAAAACATTTTTTTAAAAAAATTGGAAAAACTCACCGTTCAGTACAAAATGGTGTGAGATTTCAGGAAAACCAAAATCTTGCAAGAAGTTAAAGAGATTTTGGCATTCTTGCCTAATGTCCCAGAACATCTTGCATAATTTTGTAAAATCTAATAATCTCGCAAACATTTTTCAAGTTTAATTTTAAATTTTGGGATGGCCCTGCTGTTGTGAAAGACCATGTGATGATAGCTTGCAAAATTCTGGAAGGCCTTTGACTATAGATCCCTAAGCTATTCCCAGAGGCTGTTGTGTAGGAAATTTCAGGGTGGTCCCTGTACAGTGTTCTTAGAGGGTTTCTCACTGCTTTCTATTTTCTATGGAATAGATAAAAGGAGTGTTTTCTTTCTCCTTTCAGTCTCGGCTGATGAAGACTGCAAGTGGTACATAGACAGAAATGGCTCCTGGCACCGTGGCATAGACTGCAACTTCCCCTCTTTCTGCTGTGGTGATTGCTACCATCGCTTCTGTTGCTTTGATTTCAGGAACCTTCTCACTGAACGGCAGCAAAAGCACTGCATGACCTTTGGGTAAAAATATGTAATAGCCACAGAAGGCGGTTGGAAGCATCCAGATTGTGATTGAAGACTTAGAGTTACCTCTGAAGTGCCAAAAGAAGCAGAGCAGAGGGATATAAGCAACCCCTACGATATATATTCTTGTTCTTATGACTGAGATACAGCTAGGAGTTCAGTTTGATCAGAGCAGAATGGAGTGGGGAGGAGATGCTTCATCCTTTCTCAGGAGGGTGTCTTCAGTTTTCTGAAGTCAAAATTCTTCCTGTGTAGCTGTAGTAATGTTAATTATCATTTGAAAAAAATGTCCATGGGGAAAGAGATGAGCTTTCCTTTCTTCCTTGTCCTGATCAAATCCAGTTTCCCTTGCAGTTAAATTCAAATGCATGGAGCGAGCATCCAAAGTTTTTATGAGCCACATGGTATTCAGGCCTTGATTATGGACTCCTGTCATAACCCATGATTTATAAGTCATAAAGCTTGGTTCACATAACTTGCTAAGTCAGAATCCAATATACTCTTGCTATATAGCTTAGTATGAGAAGTGAGATACTAACTTCATACTTTATAAGAGTTGAAGGTGGAGAGGCTGAAATCTCTAATTCTCATGCCAGAGAACAACACAAACTTCCAAAGGGAAGTAAGTAACCATGTGGCTTCTGAGTTTTAACTTTTTTTAAAGCAAGATGAGACCAAGAATTAAACTGTAGACAAATGTATATAAGGGTCGTTGGGTGTTTTTAAGAAAATTTCTAACAGATAATTTTTGATATGCAGATCTACTTACCTAAACTTTTCAAGCCTTTTTAGGAATGCTGAGTAGGAAGAGTTTCTAACACATACCTGATATACTTTCACACATTTCTCCTAACTCGGTCCAAAGTACAGCTAGAACAATATTGATCAAGAATAAATTGTGGGTATTGGATATCAATCCCAAATGAGACTAAGCCTTATGGAGCTCCATAATCCTGAAAAGATAAAAAAAAGTTCAAGTTTAATTAAAGTGTCCTCTTCCAAAAGTGCTGGAGCGAGATCTGTGTTGGCCAACTGTCTTGTTGGTATCCTTTTGAAGGAAGTTATGATTTTATTTTCATTTTCAACCATAATGATGATAGCACGAATATTGAAATATTGAATTTAAGTATAGTATTGTAAGTACAGTATTGAAATATTGAAATAATTTGATCTATTCCTTCAATGGTTGCTGAAGCATAAAGTAGAGATTCTTACATTTATAACTGGGATTTGAAACTATCTATTTCTAATAGTTTTTTAAAATTATTTTTAAGACAAGCCGATTGTCTTGTCTTAAATCTACTCTTTAGTTGGAATGTACAAATGTATTTAGGATTTCCTCTAGGTGGATTTTGAAGGGGGACATTGTTTGAGGAATTCATGGTCAAATAAATATTACCAAGATCCTCCTCCTCTTTCCTCTTCTTCCATCCCTGTGGACCCAAGCAGGCCACAGAAGGACGGGGGAAATATTTTTTTAAGCAGCTTTGCTAAAGTCCATCTTTGCTGCAAAAGTCCACCATGATCACAGAAATGTGAGAATCTGCCCAGACACTGGTTCTTTTTGTGCATCATTTCTTGGGTTGTCCATTTGACAGTGTGCATGACACCCCAATCCATCCAAGATCTCAAGAAAGGAAGAAGCCTTCTTCAAATAATACCTGGTTGCTATTGCTACTACATATTTCTTTTAAAAATTTAAATAAACCAGGAGGAAATTCCTTGGTCACCTGCTGTATTTTTAAAAGTTCTTTGCAATATTTGACAGATTTTTTTTCTTTGTTTTTTAACTGGACCCAAAGATACCTTGTGAAGGTGGGCAGTAGAAGTGACTGGACTTTTGAGAATTCATCCATCCCTGTCATGTAAAGGAGTCATTAGTATCTGTTTCAGTGGCAGATTCTATAGCATGAACAACATCCACTTGTCTTTGTCTGTGCTCTGCAGGCCAAGGACCATTGCTGGCATCGCTTCAGCTGTGATTCTCTTTGTGGCCATTGTTGCCACCATCGTCTGCTGCTTCCTGTGTTCCTGCTGCTACTTGTACCAGCGACGGCATCACATGCAGACTCCTTATCAAGGTAGAAAAAGTCCTTCTGTTGTGGCCTCCTGGGAGAGATAGAGGGGGAACTGGGAATGCTGGAGGGAGAGTTAGTTGACTGATAATGTCATAAATAACAATTCAGCTCAAGGTGGGAAGGGGAGACCTGGGGAAAAGTCTTCAAGCAGTTTCTACTTTAATTGTCACTACATAGGAAACTGGGGATTTCCTATTATAATTCCAGAGCCCTGTATTTTACTTCAGAGTAGCATTATTTTATGACATGATCTATATCATTCTTGTTTTCTTGATTTTGCCAGCTATACTGGGCTTTATACCAAAATCTTCTTTCTCATAGATATAATACTATATTTGCAATTAGGCATATGCTGCTTATATGAGCATTCTGATGGAGAATCTTTCCCAGAGTCAGGCTGGCTAGGAAATGATTGGAACTGCAATCCAACACATCTGGACTACAAACTAGCAAATTGGAGAAGGCTACCTTATGATATGGAGAATTTTCAATAATGTTTCTGGTGAGCTGGATTCAAAGGAGGAAAGGTGATGCACACCAGTGAGCAGATTATACCTACTGGCATCTCCTTAAATCAAACATGTCATTTCCTGGGATTGCGTTATAGGGCTGGGAAAAGATGCAGCTTCCAACAGATGTGATGCCAATGTCCATGCATGCTCCAAGTCCCCTCTTCTCCTTCAAATCCAGATTGCTGCACAGATTTACTATCAATGCAGACCACACACTCACAAAAGTTTGTCAAATCCAGGTCAGGAGATTCCACTTTCTGGTTATCCTGATCAGCCTCCAGGCCCTTATCCTGTGGATCCAAAAGCAGGGCCAGCATTTCATCCTGGATATGCACCTGTGTTTCCCTACCCACCTACAGTTCCAGCAGCACAGTATCCTCTATATCCACCGGGGCCACCGTACTACAATCCTTCAGGTGAGAAAAGAGTATAAAGCAATGATAAACTTCCTATCCAGGTATGGTGCAGACATATTTAGTATGAACTCTCGAAATGTCATTTAAGAATTATAAGAAATACTGTTAAGAAAATATCATACACAAATGATCCACAGTATTCATTATGTCATAGGCACCAAACAAGTCTTAGTAAGTGTAGATAGAAGAAATTCTATCAATGCATGCTTTTGGTTAGGCAATGGTAAGCCTTAATTGAGTTTCATGTGAGAGATTTAATCTCTAGAGCAGTGATGGCGAACCTTTTAGAGACTGAGTGCCCAAACTGCAACCCAAAACCCACTTATGCATTGTCGAGTGCCGGGTGGGTATGGCCCATTGGCTGGGTGTGGCCAATTGACTGGGCGTGGCCCATTGGGTGGATGTGGTTACGGTGGTAACGGCAGACTGGGTGGGACTAAAAAGTTTAATCAATCAATTCCAACTTTGCAAGATCTTTTTTTCCCCGCGAGAAGTTGAAATTGACGGATTGAACCTTTTTTTTTTTTTTGCACATGGCAACGGAGGCCTAAAGCAAAAAGGTTTTATAAAACCCAGCTGAAGGTCTAGGACTGGGGCAACGGTGCACGCACCCACAGAGAGGGCTCTGAGAGCCGCCTCTGGCACCCGTGTCATAGGTTTGCCACCACTGCTCTAGAGCATCTCTTAATTGATAGGGGAAAGATTGATTAAAGTTGAAGATGTATTGGAATAACAGTGGAAAAGCAGGAAGGGAACATTAAGGTTAGAACATGGAGGTAGGCTTGTCCTCTAAAATCCAAGATGGCCATGAATAAAGCAAGGCAAAATAAGAGGCTTATCCCCTAATAATATAGTAACATAAAATGTAGCAATGTAACAGAATAAAAGATATATAAATATTACATGACATTTCTATAGGACTTCTATCTATATCAGGGCTGCAAAGATGATGACCACTAGAAGATGACAGCAAAGAATTTCCTTTGCTATCACCTAGAGGTTGTCTGGATTTTTGCAGGCCAGAGTATGGTAACTTTATAATCCTCATATATGTGGAAAATATCTAACCTTGAATTAGACCCAGTTTCACCTTTGGCGTTTCTGTAAAAATCTGCTTCAAGTTCAACTTAGTGCATGGCAATTTACTGACTGCTAGTTTCCTATCCAAGCACTAGAGTCTGACCTTGCTTTATTTTTAAAAGACCAGCAAAGATTGGCAAGGTGCTGCTAAGCTTATTCTAATGGTTAGTTTCTTTCTTCTGCAGCTCCCCCACCATACATCCCACCGCAACACACACAGCCTACTACTTGAGAAGAATCTTGGAGGACTAATCAGAAGAAGCCTTTCTCTCTGGGGCTGCTAACTCCCTTTTTACAGAACTTGTAGGGGGACTCCTACTGTCCTGAAACTCCAGCCTGTGTCAGTATTTTCCAGTGGTATTTTTTTTTAGTTATTCTGCATGGTAGGAAGCATTGTGACTTTTAATTCTTTTCTCCATTCATCCTAGATATTGAGAGAATCACCTTATCCTCCCCACTTTCTATATAGTTCAGGAAGTAGCTGATTATTACAAATGCAAGTGCACAAAGCTGGTGCAAACACCATGCATGTAATTTGACAGATTTGCCCTCTCTCCAACCAAACTTTTCAGAGGAAGTAGGAAGTAGGTAGCTTGCCTCCGGGGGTTGCAAAGAATTAAATGAAGCTGTCTTTCACTAAATAGCCAGGAGGGTCAATTTTAGACCCGTTCTTCATAACTTCCAGGTGATGTTTTATGTCTTAAGGAAGCCCTGAGGCCTAAGATGGATATACATATTGAAAATCCCAAGATATTTGGTGCTGATAAAGATCCTTACATTAAGTAGATCTTGATCAGAATCTGGAAGAGAAGCTGTTTGAAAGACCATAAATATTCCCAAATAAAGCTGTAAGTGCAATTAATACATAGGAAAAGTAGGTGAGCCTAGAAAGACTTGTTTAAAGATGAGGAGTAGAGAAGACACATTGTCTTTCATGCTCCACAGCACAGAATGATAAGTCCAATATCATCTGAAGATACAGATATCAAACTGCTGGCATTTCATCTGCAAGTGAAAGTACAGATTTTCTGTGTTTTTTTCCAAGAAAAAAAATGGGTGACAAAAGTAACTCTTCTCTGTTGAGTATAATTTCAATTTTCAGAGGGAATTTTTTTAAATGATTTCTCTACTGCAGGGGTAGTCAACCTTGCGTCTTTTATGACTCGTGGACTTCAACTCCCAGAATTCCTGAGCCAGCTTAGCTGGCTCAGGAATTCTGGGAATTGAAGTCCACGAGTCATAAAAGAGCCAAGGTTGACTACCCCTGCTCTACTATATTGAAAAGCATTTTGAAATTTCTCTTGTGCATTCTGGACCAATCTAATGAGAGTTAACCTTTCACTGTCATATTATAACTTTCAGTATAAACTGCCCTCACACTAATATGAAATCTCTGTATTTGAAAAGGTAAAGTAAGCATTTAAATCGGATTCTGAATTCTTTACTAATTGCAGAGGTATCTTATGAGTTCATATATATATATCTGTTAATTCACTGTAAAGAAATCATTTCCCAAGATAAATCAAGGAACAAAAAGAACCTGCCAAGAACTGGCATTTCAGAATTTAAACAAGCTTCAAAATGGTTCAGCAACAGTGTTAGGGAGATGCCTTGGTTAAACTACAGATATGGTAGTTGGATAGCCATTTGGAGGAGTGTTGAAATCTTAGTCCATCCTTTCCTGGTTAGTTCCATTTCTGTACAAATCTTTCCCACCAACATCCAAATGGGTTGATCTAGAGCAGGGGTAGGCAACCCTGGCTCTTTTATGACTCGTGTTGAAATCCACGAGTCATAAAAGAGCCAAGGTTGCCTACCCCTGATCTAGAGTTTCCAGCATTCCTAACTAACACAGCCTTCCCCAACCTGGGCATTCTCCATGGTTTCTGTTTCAAATCTCAGAACTCATCAACCAGCATCTTTCACTTTTGATTTTATGCAAATGTGAAGAGAGGGCAATATCATTTAGGATACTTGCTATTTTTGTTAATAGTCACTGCCCAAAAGTAATTGCAAGAATTTCTTTCAAATCTTATGTAAAAAAAATGTTTTCTCCCATGGTGAGACCCCTTTCACGTACATAAATATATGTTCTTTCATAATATTCTAACTCAGTTTAGATTCCTTTCTTTTCACTAAGAAATATTAGCTAAGGTTAGCTAGCCCCTCTACTTGTCCTGAATGCAGCCTCTCAGATTTGCCTCTGATCAATTAATTGTACTCCTGGGGCATGGGAATGCCTATTAAGAAATGGATGCCTATTTTTTATGCAGTGTAGCCTATTTCTCCTGGAAGTCCTTGCTGTTTATTGAGGCTCTATCTGCATTTTATTATGTGCAAAATCTATCATTCTGCCGCTGGAATGTTGCAGAGAACACTGAAGTTTTCTGTTTTCTTCCTGACTATGTCAGTCTGGCCATTCTAGGGCAATCTCATAGATTTCCAGAACAGAAAGTCATTTGTAGTGTAGTTTAGAAGCTGTTGCAGAATAGTACGTTTTGCACATTCCTGTTGCAAGACCCAATTTATCAATCTGCCACTACATCTCATTGTTCTTTCCAAACATCAACAAGATTTAGTGTGATGAGGTTGGATAGTCCCACCTATTCCTCCCCACCTGCTGAAGGGATATTAACTTTGTACCTGCAAAGGCTGTATTTAAATTATTTGGAGCACAGAGAAAGCCTGGGAAGCAAGACAAATGCATGATGCTTCAACCAGAGTATAAAGACAATCCCTTTGCAAGAAAATGAAAAGGCCACCATGTGCTATGATGCCTACTAACTTCATGGTTTCCAGCAGCTGGGAAAATGTGTTCACTCAGTTGAAGATGCCATGCATTGGGCACATGCCTTTTGATGTTGCACAGAGCTCTGCAAAACCAACGTGTTTAGCAATGCTGAAGCACCACAATGTAGACATCCTCTCCGTGCATTTGACCATTTCTGAATCCTGAAAGAAACTTTTGGAGGAAGAAGTTAACTGAGTCAGCCCTTTTGCTCAAATCATATTCCCACTGTATGGGAATGGCTGCTGAATTGTGGCAACAGTTGCACCGCTGCCTCTTATTCTAACCAGAATGGCAAACATTTGCTTTGCAAAATGTCCGTTACAATGTAGATTAAAGTTGTAAATACTGATTAAGTTACTGCTATATGTGTATGCGTGTATTTCTTCTACTTCTGTAGTTAGCGGATAGATACTCCTAGAATAATTTCTGAACAGGAGAAATAAACTTTCGTTTGCCAACAATTAAGAGCTTGATAAAGGAAAATGTTACTATTTGACAAGGAGAAGAGAAAGCAAGTACTGTTCATTGTTTCCTATGCATTGAGGAGGGTATCCACAGGGAGGGGAACAAAGAGCCATAATGTTTTGAATCAATGGCAAGTTATGCTTTGCTGATTCTTAAAATATAAAATTTCCTCTTAATTAATTTATATGCCAGGTCATTCCATCTAGTATATCTTAAATACTGAACAAAAGTCTGGTTGCCATAGAAATGTGGGTTTCCGTTTGGATCAAAAGCTTTGGTGTTCAAAAAAAGTTTCAATTCAAGTCTAAGACTTTAATAGTTGTTCTTTACTTGCAGAATTTCCAAATATGATTTTCTCTTTCACTTTGGAACAGCCTTCCTAATCCTGGCTCCCTCCAAATGCATTAGACTTCAACTCCCATAATCTGTAGCTGACATTGCAGCTGGCCAGAGATGATGGCCTTTGAAGTTAACTAGACTGTTCTTTCTGAAACAGGGGTAGTCAACCTTGGCTCTTTTATGACTGGTAGACTTCAATTCCCAGAATTCCTGAGCCAGCTTAGCTGGCTCAGGAATTCTGGGAGTTGAAGTCCACGAGTCATAAAAGAGCCAAGGTTGACTACCCCTGTTCTGAAACAAAGCCATGTTTCTTGATAGAGTGACCATTGCAGAGGAGGCAGGAATGTTGGGTATGTTTGCCACTTCGAATTACATTTTAAAAGGCAGGATAATTAATAGGAATAAAAACAGACAGCAGTTGCCACCTCTGCAAAGAAACCAGAGAAAGAGTAGATCACCTAGTTAGCAGACTGACCACAAACGGTTAAGATTGACAATCACTGATATAGTGTAACTAGCTAACTACCAGCTAGAAGAAAGGAGTTAGCAAAGAAAAATTGGAAACTTTGTTATTATGGGGGAGACGATTCAAAGGATTTGGGGACACCGGTGAGAAGGCTCTGTCTCTGGTGGGCCAGACAGTAGAACCTTAGAAACTGATCCCAAAGGTGCTTTTTCAAAAGGCAACTGGACTTCCTTTGTTTTTCCTTGAAGACGTTTCGCTTCTCATCCAAGAAGCTTCTAATGTTCGACTGTCTGGCCCACCAGAGACAGAGCCTTCTCTTTTGAACCATGGCCTGGATGGCTGGAAATCTCCAGCCACTCAGAAACTGGTCTTCGACCATAAGCAGGCTTGGATTATGAAGGCAAACCTGCAGTCACACATGGCAGCGTTTAATGCCTTCAGCACGAATACCAGCACTTCACAAACTGGAAATAAATAAGGAGCCAACATCATAACATGCCTGAGAAGACGTGCACTGAACATCTGCAAGAAATACCATTTGCCTTCAAGCAAGAACTGGTGAGACCACAAAGTAGACAAAGCAACAGAAAACGAAGAAGCTAAACGTCCTCTAGTCTAGAGCAGTGGTTCTCAACCTGTGGGTCGGGACCCCATTTGGGGTCGATCGACCATTTCATGGGGGTCGCCAAGCAAGGCTGTCCGCCATTTTTTTTGTACATTTTTTTTGTCTGCCATTTTTTTCCCCTTTTCCGGCAGGTGCCTTACCTCCCTTGGGCTGGGCCAGCTGGTGGTCGGCCTGCTCCATCTCTGCCGCTTGCCAGCTATGCCTCGGCCGGCGCAGGGGGCAGAACCACGCATGCGTGGCGCTCCCGGGCAGGGAAAGTCCTCAACTTACGACCGGTTGGGTAGTCCTCGACTTACGACCGGTTTAGTCCTCGACTTACGACTGGTTGGGGTCGCGGCATTAAAAAGGTTGAGAACCACTGGTCTAGAGGGCTTTAGAATTCAAGCAGGCAAGGCACCTGCCACATAACACCCGGATCGGAAGTCGCGAACTATTTCACGCTCCCAGTAAAAGAGGGTGGCGGGCTTCACAAAACAGCGGCCAGGAAAGAGGCAAGGCCGTCCCTGCCCCATTGCAATCCAAGGCTCAGTCTTGGTGGGAAACGCTGACCGCCCGAGGGAGCTGCCCCAACTTCCACGTGCCCCTCAGTCACGTGTCCAGGGGACGCGCGTTACAGAAGAGCCGTTCGGCTGCCCTCGGGAGGAATGCCGTGAGCGGGCGGCCTGGGGCCTGGCC